GGAACTCTATAAATATTAGTATTTCTATTCTTAGGAAAATGATTCTTGTTTCTCCTGTTTCTTCTGTGAGTTACCAAAAACTTAAGATCACCCTCTAGTGATAAATCACTCCAACTGCAGACTTTTCTTCCTTGGTTTAAGAATAGAGTGAAACAATATAAACATAAGGGAATGACATGCTAGGCCAGGGCATGAGGAAACAGTGCTTTTTGGGGATTTATCATTTAGCAAATTGCTAGCCTACTGGGTTGTTTGTGTTCTCTCTTTCCCAGTAAGCAAATATCTCCTATTTCTCTGATAGTAGAGTAATTTTTGAGCTTTTTATTAGAACTATGTCTTCAAAACAAACCCCCCCCGCAAATATACAGTGTGCCACCGGCATCATTAGAACTTAAATATCATCACTAACAAGAGCTGGGGCGAACGTCTTTGATGCTTTTACTCAGTGCCTGCTGTGCTGAGGATGACCAAAGTTCTTAGGTGTGTGAGGTATACTAGCTGATCAATAAGCTGATCAATACACCTTTATAAAATTTAGACCCCAAAAGAGAAGGCAGCCATTGTTTACAGCAGACAGAAATGTTGTTTAGTAGAAACTCAGCAGTTATTCAAATCATTTTCACAAGCACTGGAATGTATTTGAATGAGAGGCACTATACTGATCAGGAGAGAAAATTTTCTTTTCCAAAAGAAAATAGTAATGCGATTCTATGAGGTTAGCTGTAAAGGGCTTTTTTTTGTAGTGTAACATCTAATACTCACCTGTAGACTAGAGCAATCATCTCACAAGTATTCCTTGGTTCTGTTAAAACAATTGATGGCTTATGCAGGTGGTTTAGCAGAGGGCTTTCCGGCCCAAAGCTGAGCCTGGCACCAGATGTGCTCACCTGATGCTTTCCAAGGCGTGACAAAAACAGTGTGGAGCTCCCAGGCAACCCTTTCCAGTGAGATTTGAAATTGCATATGACTGGCGGAGCTTCATCTGGAGAGGCCTGATCCGAATCTGTCTTCGATTTAGTAGAAATGAAATGAATAAAATGAAGCCCCTTCGTTGTGTCAGAATCCATCTCTATACTACAGAATGAACAGTAACCTGAAATCAACGCCAGCCCACTAGACCCGGCTCACACGCTTGAGGGAGCGCTCCCCAGAATGCTTTCATCCAGTGCTTTCATCACTCTGTTTTCTATTTTAGGGCCGACTCTTCCCAAGACTCACGTTAAAACAGCCTCTCTGGGGCTGGCGGGAAAGGCGAGATCTCCTTTGCTTCCTGTGTCTGTGCCAACAGCCCCCGAAACGTCTGAGGACAGCCCCAAACCAGCAGAGGATCCAGCCAGTGTAAGGCCGGCCCCGCAGGTCACGCCGCACCGCTGTGCCACTCAGCCTAAGCCAGCCACACGCTCCATTAGCCCCAAGCCCGTGTTGTCCTTAGCATTTCGTTCTCCTGCAGCTGAGCATGAAGGGGAAAAAATGACAGCAAGGATTTAGTTACATAAAAGAATCACTGGGACTTACAGGCAATCTTAGAAATACAAGTTGACAGCATCAGAATATGTGACTTACATATATATAATATCTATGTTTATATGCGTGTGTGTTCCTATCAGTGGGATGAAACACCTTGGTGTACCTGAAGTAAAACTCCAGTAACCAGAGCTACACTCTGAGTTTTCCGAAGTTATCATAAATCTCACTTTTAAAGTCATAAAATAGCCTAGAAATATAGAATTGAGAAGAGGAAAATACAAAATGAAGACATGAAGGAAGCAATTTAAGAAGAAAGAACCAATATATTAAAATAAGATGGGGAAGTTTATTTAGTGAGAGAAACAGTTTGCCAGCTCAGGGAAGAAGCTAAAAAGTGATCAAATTAGAAAACTCAGAAAATGAATGGTGGTCAAAAAAACCCTGAAATTTTGAGAGAGCAAACATTCTCCCTCAAAATGCACTGTGATGCAGATTTTAAAAGATTTTGCCCAAAAGCAGCAATTCAGAAAACTCCAGAGCATTTCTAAATATAATTCAACAGAAAACACTTAACAGAAGGCTGAGGATCTAACGCATAAGACACCTTGAAAAATTAGAGGACTGGCGGGGGTGGGGGAGGTGGAAAAACAGACTAGAATTATCTCATTTGAATGAACAGTAAACTTTTTCTTGATTTTACTGTTTTCAGTACTACAAACAAAATATTTTAACTACCTGGACACCAACCAATCTGGATGTGTGTATGGGTGTGAATATTTGGCAGATGTATGTTATTTAATTCACATACTTCTGTATACTTACAAAAAGATTCACATTTATAAGAGTCTAATGCAATGCTTGTTTAGGAGTATAGCCATTTACCTAATACATATCTCATCTCATAAGGAATCACATCGGGTGGCCCATTTTTGCATTTAAGTTTGACTCTGAGGCATGGCAGCAAAAGGTATAATACGAAGAGTAATAAGATTGTATGTTAAAGGAAATCCAGAGATGGGGCCAATAATCTAGATCATCATAATCCTACAGAAATATAATGGGAACCACAGGTGTAATGTAAAACTTTCTAGTACTAACTCCTATATACAACATAGATAAACAGCAAGGTCCCACTATATAGCACAGGAAACTATATTCAATACCTTGTAATAGCCTATAATGAAAAAGAAAGGAATGTATATACACACACATACATAGATTCAGTTATATATAAAGATATATATATGTATATAACTGAATCACTATGATGTACACCAGAAATTAACACATTGTAAACTAACTATACTTCAATTAAAACATAGACTATTTACACCGATTTATAAAAATAAATAAAAAGCAAAACTTTCTAAGAGCTACATTAAAAGATGTAAAAATAAATAGGTGAGATTAATTTTTAATGTATTTCATCTAACCCAATATTTCTAAAATATCAACATGCAATAAATATAAAAAATTATCATTAAGATACTTGACTTGTTTTGTACTGAGTGTTCAGATTATGATGTATATCTTATAGGTACAGCACATCTCAGTGTAGACTGTCCACAGTTCAAATTCCAGTAGCTACACGTGGCTTGAGGTTGCTGTATTGGACAATGAGATGTAGATAATTCAGGAACCACCACCCAGACAACCATGACATCATTTTGGGAAAGGAGTTACCAAACTCATCATTTCAACCTCCCTCCTCTTATGGAGGCCAGTCTTTTGAGCCAGACTGGCCACTTTTAATCCCTGTTAAGCTCTGAAGATTACACAGTAAGTGATCATGCCATTCAAGGGCATGCTAAGAGTCCTATAAGAAGGTACAGCTTCCAACGTGTTTAATCCCTCATGGTATTGTTTCCTTTGGGGCTTTGTGCCTATTTCCCCCATATAATCTCTTCCAGCGTTGTCATGGGATCAAGGTATTTCTTTGGCAGGATTCAATATTCTGCCCATAGCACTGAGTAATACGACCTGGCCTACACAGTGCTGGAAGTCAGGCCTCAGGCCTCAATTTGGTTCAATAATTTCATCAAATGAATGAGCTAACCAAGAATAATCAGGGAGGGCTGGTCTATATGAATCAAAACAAAGGGTGTGTTGAAAAGGGGGGGGAAAAAAAGACACTGACATTTACTGGGCACTTACCTCTCAGCAGCATTGACTCGGATCCTCCTGGCTACCCAATGAGGCAAGCGTGCTATTCCTAGGGGACAAATGAGACAGACTCAAAAACCAAATCTGTAGAAAACCTGGGACTCAAATCAACACCACGACCTTGTTTTCCTCACTGGCTGACCATCAAAATTAGATGTGAAGCTTTAAAAAGAGAAGAGATTCTAACCTTTCCTAGACCTACTGAGTCCAAATCCGCGAGGCTAGTGCCCAGGGGCCCTGTGACGCCTATAATCCAGTGTTACCAATAACGCGATTCTAGTGGCTCACGGTAAGGGAGAGTTACAGAGAGCAGGCTAAGATTTCCACATGTTAACCTCTTCATTTTATCCACCAATCAAACTGTGTCACAAGGTCACCTTTACAACCATGCACAGAGCCAGTTTTTTTTTTTCACACACAAACTAAAGTCATAATCCTCAGACAAGCCCACTGAGTTCCCACACAAAAAAGTGTCCACGTTATGTTACAAAGAAAGAAAGGAACCCTGGTGATGTACATTGTTTACATCCTGACAGGCTGACCTCTGGAAAGGGGAGGAGCTAACGTATTGACTAGGTACCAACTGCTGGATACTGACAGGCCCTAAACATGTCACAGGACGCTCAGAGTCTCCTGTGAAATAGGTATCATCAGTATCTTTTTAGAGTTGAGAGCTGTACATCAGAGAAGTTTACTAACTTGTCCAAGACCACGCAGCTAACGATTGGTAGAACGTGATTTTGAAACAAGATTTTCCTGACGCTAAAGCTCCATTGCAAGAATGAAGTCAGCGAAATAGTACACAATCACCCATCACCGCCTCTCTGACTACCAGCGTCTTCATTCCAAGACTGTAGGCTGAGCCCAGCCCCTGGCTTTGGGCCGCTGGGTCACGCTTGAGAATACACAGTGAACCCATTAGACGTGGCCCCCGCCGTAACCAAAGGACCGCATCGATATTCACCTGCACTAATTCTTTGCTCTCGTTCTCTCTGTAGGTGTATGAACAGGATGATTTGAGTGAACAAATGGCGAGTTTGGAAGGGCTAATGAAGCAACTTAATGCTATCACGGGCTCGGCCTTTTAACGCCTACTGCCGAATTGATGAGGTGAAGTTTCCGGGACCTTGGCAGCATTACCAATTACCCATAAACAGCACACCTGTGTCTGAGAACGCTAACCGGTGTACAGGTCAACCCTCTGGACCGCTCAGTTACGGACGAGCCTGAAGCAGTTCAGAAGGAATGAGCATCGCTTCTTTCAGAGGCATCAGGAGTTTCAAAATGATGACTGTGGGGTCCCAGAGCAAAAGCAAAGATACGTCCTCACTGCAGTGTCAAAGCTGAAGCTGCTAGAATGGTCCTGGGTCTTTGCCACTGCAGTGACCACACTGTCATGATGAATGCTTCTGTTTTCCTTCATCGAGGTCTGTCATTTTCTTACCCATGTAGGTCTCGTCTGACTAAACGCAAGTGCGTTATTTCCGCCTGTACCATGCCATGGCAAATCAGTGCAAGCTCACTCTTTTGTTTTCAACTTTAAAGTGCAAAGCACCCATGGGAACTTTCTCACTCCATAGCACCAAAGGACTGGAGGCTTTCCTAACAGCACAAAAGAAGCAAACAAGTAAACACATGAAAGGCAGTGAATGCTTACGGTTTGTAACTCAAGTCATTCCTGCACGAGGGGTGGAGATCAGCAGGCGGCTGTCAAATTCGCCCATGTTAGCAAGTATCTGTAAATCCACCCTCAGTTGACATTTATGTCTGGGGAACAGGAACATAAAAACCTGCAACCAGTGGCATCCTGCCAGCCACCAGTCCCTTCCTGAAAGAGGACACAATATGCAGTCTTCTCAGACACACGACAATTACGTGCTTAAACCTGGAATAGGACACTTTCCCATTCGGGTGGCTTTTGTGCCATACCACACTGTGATGATATTTCAAAGCTTCAGCAAGGCCATCTTTCTCAGGAGTCTGGCTAGAAGGTTTCCCTCCCTCCATCCCAGCCTTCCCTGAGTTGTCTTGGCAACCAGCCCCGGTGAGGTGGCCGGTTCCACACGTCCTGACACACGTGTCCCCGTAACCCTCTGTGGAAATGGCAGACTTTCTGAGAACAGGCCCCATCCCAAGGGAGGGATGGGACATAGCAGGGAGTTTTAAACAGTATCTTCTCTTGAGTGATGTCACTTCCACCACCAGAGTCCTCACGGACTGAGAGCAGGCAGTGTCGGGAAGTGCACCCCCAAGCCTTGTGGTCAAGGGAACCTTCTGCACCAGACTCAGAGGGGAGCGGAGGAGCTGACACTTCTCACACCGCCTAAACCCAGGGGATGCTCTTCGAAACCGCATCTCCATTGTGAGCTAGAATCTCAAACTTCTATTGCCATGTTTATCTACAGCTTGCAACTAGGTGAAATTAAAAACATTTTGTGTGCACCCTTTTTTAGTTTCTGGATGTTCAGCTGCATTTGGAGTTAATCCATTTATGCAGCTGCAGCGCCAAAAGGGAGCTAGTCTGCATATTTATCAGTTAGGCAACTTGAAAACCCAATAAGAGAGTTTCAGCTGAATTATTCCTTTCAGCTCTGCCTTTGATTTCAAGCTTGAGTAGGTCATAATTTTAAAAGAGCATGGAAGGGATAGGATCTTTACAACCTAATAGCTCCTTTTATTAGGTGGGTAATTATATATGAATCCCTGAATGAAATATTTTGAGCAAAATGGCACTGTAACAGAAGTAATAATTCAGATTATTTTTTTACAGTTTTATGTCGGGAAGGAAATCTGATGTCAGAGAGGGCTTGTTCAAGTGGTTCATTAGAAAGTCCGGTCCATTTGCAAAACTGTTCCTTCAGCAAGAGTGCTTCCTCAGTTTACTTACATTTTCTTGAAATCTTTCTGAAGAGCTCTGGGGCGTTCCTCTCTGGGGGCAGGTACCTCCCATGCAGCTTCTCGGTGCTTAGGGAAGCAGCCCTCCACTGGCCCGGAGCACGGCGTTTCATGACACAGCCCTGAGTCTTGCAGAGAGAACCCCTCCCTCAGAAAAGGAAACACTCGTCTGGCTCGTCTTACCTCCTCAGGGTCCTAGAATGGCTTCCCCTTTCTCATCCCCACAGACCAGGAACGTTCTCTGAAGGCATCTGACGTCCCAGGAAGGTCATCCTGACTGTTCGGTTTGGAAAGAGGTGCAAACCTCCGATCTCAGGAGCGGAGCCGCACCTCCGGTCTGTAGGCTGTATGTGGACAATCACGAGAACTAGCGTTCTCACAAAGTTCTCGACTCCTCTAGGCTCCTCAGTCAGCGACCTGAGGAAACAGGTTTTAAACATACGAAAATACGCATTACTTGTTTTCAGCACATGCCCCCGAAACACGCAGACGCACGCTCCTGACGCTTTCTTCATTACACGCCTCCAGTGGTTTGTCTTGCTAACTGGCAGTGCGAGGAAGTCTGAGCCCCACGCAGGGACTGTGCGGTAGGATCCATTTAAATTCCCACGAGAGCCTCTGGGGAGATTTACCCAGTGGTTTTCATATGAAATGCCTTTACCCCGGCTCTGTTCAACTCCGCTCCCCATCCTCTCAAACAGTTCACATGTGCTCACAACTGCCTGCCCCAGTCTACAGGCAACTTTTCTATTTCCCAGTCCCCTGATCTCTTGACAAGAAGAAATCTGTAAATACTGCAAGAGAGCCTCATTTTGCTCCTACTCTGAGTCTAGTTCATGACATGCAGGGCTCTCTCAGCTCATACATCTCTCTGCCTCCCGCAGGGCGATGCTTGACAACCAACCAGCAGCTCTGCCGCCAGGAGTCATGTCTCCCTGGATAAAGAAGAAAATAAGACTTGGCAGGGCATGCTCAGGCCTCCCCTGCGCAGTGCCAAGCCGTCAGGCAAGAGCCTCCTCTTGCAAAAGTTCGGTATTTTTCCTTTGTAGTTCATACTGATAGGAAAGCTATTTTCTTTCCTCTTGAAATTCCTGCATTTGTTAAACTCACAAAAATGCAGATAGCTCACAAATGTATAAAGCCCAGTTGGAGGATCCGCCAGCCAAAAGTTAAATATTTCTTAGTGATTCACATTCAGGAAGCAACCAGTCACAGCTACCTCTCTGTAGAGCAGACAGAGCTATAAACATTGAGAACATTTAAATGGAACTTTACATTTGGGTATTATAGAATGCACACCCGACTGAACAATCTGGAAAAACAAGAAAAGAAAAGAAACATATTGAGCCAGGGGTAGAAGAGGTGAATTTATTAAGGCTTCCTGTGAGGAGCTGGATATAACATTAGTCTCTTCGAAATAAATGTTCTTCAAAATGACATGAATGTTCAGTCCTCTGCATTGGTTAAGTGCTACAAATGGAGAGCCGTCCAGCATTAGTGTGTCACTTCCAGACAACATTTTAAAATGGCAACGTTTGGCACTCATTGGCTCTTCCAATAAAGAATTGAAGTACAGATCTTTCTGGAAGCCTTCCTAGTCTGTGCTTAAAGATGGTTGCTCACTCTTAGCCACCCTTGGGATACATCTGTCTGTTGACTTTGTTTTAATGTCTCAAGGTCTTCTCTAAATGTAACAAATGTAATCATACATGGCTGCCAGACTATAATTCTAACCAAAAAAGAAAAGTCACTTATAAGAGATCACCTTACCTTTTAGATGAAATTGTGTCCCGGACTCTTGACTTCTTGTAGTTTTAGAATATCCATTTCTAGCTCATGAGAAAGAGAAAAAGAAAAGTTTCGTAGTTTTAGGTGTTTTATGAAAAACAAAGTCCTCAAGACTTTAAAATAGATGTGGAACAAGGCTGCATTCCCTTCCTCAACCAGTTTATCTTCATCCAACCGCAGACCATCCCTAAGACCTGAGGTTAGTGTCCGGGCCTGTCTGTAACCCATAAACACAACACAGAGCCCACAACATTCTCGAACTGCAGAGCAGTGACACACTCAAATCTGCAATCTCTCTCTTTTTAAAATTACTTTCAAAGCAACATTTTCCTCATAATTTGTACTTCCCTGGTAACTTTCAGAAATCACTTTAATAGTGCACAGAAAAGCTTTTCACTTGGTTTCCATGTTTCAAATTAAATCAGATACTTCAGAAAAACCATAGATAAGATGTTTTGTATGATATCCTATCCATTAGGAAGTACGTGCTCCCATGCCCCAGAGTAACTTGCTATTCAAATACCTGCTGCCAAAAGGGACTGATTCTGAACAGAAATGCCCGAAGGTCTCAGTCAGTGAGCTAATACAGAGACCAGACGCCACGCCCGGCCGTGGGCTCTGCTGCTGCCGTCGGGTGCTGCTCGCTCGGCAGACTTCCAGGTGCACTCTCTGAAGGATGTCTTCTCCTGCTCTCAGTAGAGAGCCTCTGTACATTGTCACCCTGTGGTTTTTTTTGTTGGGTGGAGAAGCAACAGGAGAACTCTACCAGATGTCGTAAACACAGATGCATGGGCCAAGGGATCTCACCATGTGCTGAAAGTGTATTTTCAGATGCGAGAAAGGAATGTTGGGGAGGAGGAGAAATGCTGTTTTTTATTACTGTAGGGTAAACTTGACAATTCTGAACTTTGTGAATTGTCAGCTTGTTTGGGGGGATGGGCGGGTGGGTCCGGGGTGTACTTTTTATAAGTAATATTTAATTTATTATTTAGAGTGGCTTCTTTTTGGATAATTTATGATACAAAGGGAGATCTGGTTGGGAATCTAGGCATGGCTGTTAAAGCTGCAGTGTTCCGTATCTCAGAGGGGCCGCTTTGGAAATGAACTGTCCACTGCTGAGTGTGAGGACACGCCGAGGCAAAGCCTTCCACTGACCCTCCATCATCGCAGCCCTCTCCCCTTCCGGGTCACTCGGACAGGAGAACACCAAACCCACAACATGCTGATAGCATTTTACAGATCAGTGTTCCTCGCTCTCTCAAAGGGCTTTGCCATTCAGATCGTGAGTGTGCTAGCGGGTGGTAGGTTTATTTGGTAGAAATGGGTATACTACAGCTTTGACTAGCCTTAGTGGAAAAAGAAACTTTTTGTGGCGACAAGATGCCTTTTAAAAAAAGAAGAAAAGGTATTTTGCGCCTCCCAAGAGTTTCTTCACATTGTCAGACTCTAGCGTTGTTAACCAAGTTAGACTAGTGACCGCAATATTTAAGTGTAAATCTTGTTCTATGAGAAAGGAGACTTGCTTACAGTTTAAAACAATGACTGTTTCTACACAGGATCTTGTATACTACTACACGAGGAAAAAGGGGTTTTGTAATCACTGTAGAACAGTCTCATACTCATTTTTTATAGAAATGTTATTCCAATGGTGCATTTTTTTGTTTAATAAATAAAGTTTTGATACAAAGTTCTTTCTTCATGTTCTCTCTATGAAATGTCTGGTACTGCATGCACACGACCCTGACTCCTGCCTGTCTGTCCTTACCCTCAGGATCCGTGTTGCCTTTTCTGACAACTGCATCAGAGGCTGTCAGTCCACATCACTTTGGATGCTTCTGCCGTTTTCATGCACATGCCCAGTGTGCTTTCTGTCCCAGCAGCCAATACCCACGTCTGGTGAAGGGCTGCCTCGGGCTGCCAGAACTTGCTTTGCCAACGTACACAGGAAAGCTGGAAATTCCAGATCAGATCTTACCAATAACTGACAAACAGTCCAGCTCCCATGCCCTTGGTTGTGACAACTCTGAGGTATAAGCCAACTTATTTCCAGAGTTCCCTTGCAGGACTGAGCCCAAGTGACTCTCTGCGAGGAGACACTGCTGCACAGCACTGCAGCCTAGATACAGCACCCACGTTTGGCTTGCCCCCTCGTTCCCTCTTCCCCCGTTCCCCCAGTGATTTCTCCCGGGAGCACCTCATAGTAAACCACCTTTACACAAATCTTCACGTCAGGGTCTGTTTTTAGAGAATTAACCTCAAAGGTTCCGCTGTTTTTGCTCCCATTTCAACACACCAACACCAAATATAATACTCTCTCCATCCACCAAATACTTCATCCTTACAGGATCAACAGCAGAACATGGAGACACACATATGCGTTGAATAATATATTGCTGTGTTAACTGAAGGATTAAATTGGGCATGTAATACATTCTTTAAGAGAAAATCATGTATTAATAAAAGTTTTACCAACTCTTTTGGGCAAGCAGAGAACTATTCAGTGAGCTTGCTTGAAGCCAAGGCATCGCCAGTGACAGGACCGTGGGGCTTTAAAGGTCATGTCGCTCTTCCCAACTTCTTCAATGCATAATCATTCCACCTAAAGAGAAAATAAATTGTGTTTAAGATCACCAAGCACCTGGAGAAGCTGGAACCCTTGGGCATCGCTAGTGGGAATGTAAACTCGTGCAGCAGCTGTGGAAAACAGTGTGGTGGTTCCTCAAAACCTAAGATGAGCAGATGATCCAGCAATCCCACTTCTGGGCATATAGCCAGAAGAATTAAAAACAGGGAACACTCATGTTCATAGTAGCATTATCCACCACAGCCAAAAGGCGAAAGCAGCCCAAGTACTCATCAACAGATGAAGAGGTAAACACAGTATGGTATATACATGCAATGGAGTATTACTCAACCTTAAAAAGGCAGGACATGCTGACACATGCCACAGCATGGATGAAGCTTGAGGACATTACGTGAAGTGAAAGAAGCTCATCACAAGAGAATAAACTGTACGATTCCACTTATATGAGGATATGAGGAACCTAGAGTAGTCACATTCACAGAGACAAAGTAGAACGGCAGTTGCCAGGGACTGAGAAGATGCGGGAATGAGGAGTAATTGCATGATAGGTACCGAGTTTCAGTTCTGGAAGATGAAGAAAGTTCTGTGGGTGGAGAGTGGGAACGGCAGCTCAGCAGTGTGGATGTACTTAATGCTACTGAGCTGCACCGCACACTTAACAAAATTAAAATGGTATATTTTACATTAGGTAATTCTACCACAATTAAAAAAAAAACTCCAATTAATGATATTCCAGAGCTATCTTCTATAAATATTTATTCTACAATTCCTGAAACACAAATATGTTGAGACCAAAATGTTAAACTGATACGCAAGAATGAGAAGTAACATATTTACGAGTCCGTTTTGTCTCACATACTCAATTTACGTAATCATCTCGTACGTAAGGATGTTGTGCTTCCACAGAAGCTATCATGAGAAACTGGTCATGTGAAGAAACATAAAATGGAGTACTGGTGTTTGATCTAGACAAGAGAAAGTTAAAGGACAAACTACTCTCTCCATTGCAAGTATTTTTATGAAAAGGATTTTGGAGGAGTCAAAGAATGGATACTCTCTGAAATACCCTGAAACGCTATAATGAAGGTAGGCAGCTGACTGCATTAACATGCATGTAGAGAATTTCACAGATCTGAAATAAAGTGCAAAGTCAGAGAGGTGTACCCAAAGCTAGAATCCAGAAAGGCTGACATTGCCTCCCTTTGATGGAAATTTTCTTCAATTCATTAAATTACTTGTTTCCATTTATTTAGATTTTTTTCACATTCTTTAATTGAGGTATAATCAGTTTACAGCATTGTTTCAATTTCTGTTTTATGATAAAAACCCTTACCAAGTGGATAGAGAGGGAACATCTCTCAACATAATAAAAGCTATTTACGACAAACCCACAGCCAGCACAGTACTCGGTGGTGCAAAGTTGAAAGCCTGCCTGTTAAAACCCGGAACGAGACAAGGATGCCCACTCGCATCACCTCTATTCAACACAGGATTGGCAGTCCTAGCCACAGCAATCAGGTAAG